CCCCCCCCCCGCAACATTCTTGATCCACCTTTGGCAAAGTAGTAAGGAACGATTGGCCACCCGTCCTGTGGGAAAAATGCTCCGTCCTCACGGGGACGAGGACGCGTGGTCAATGGTCTAATGACTACGGCATACACGGCTACGAGTACGGCTATCAGGAACCCCCCCCCCCCCCCCCCCCCCCCCCCCCCCCCCCCCCCCCCCCCCCCCCCCCCCCCCCCCCCCCCCCCNCCCACCTTAAACGTGTATTTGCGGTGAAACGACCAGTCCCCCGCTTCGAAAAGGGTCTGAGCCTGCGCCGGGCTGACGCACCGACCCAGGTTCCACGGACTGCACGGCAGCACCATCCCATTGCATGTCCTAAAGCAAAAGTAAGAAACCAAGAAATGATCAGTGTGCTCTATGTCGTGCTTCCTACGGTAGTGTGGAGCAAACCGCCGTTCCGAAAACCTCCCTTTTCCCGCCGCCGTGTCTGTCATGGTCCGGTGAGAACCCGGCGTGCTCCGTCCCAGCCTTGTAGGGATGCGAAGTCAATGGTCTAACGACTACGGCATTCACGACTATGAGTACATCCCCCCTGTCTGATGCCCCCCCCCCCCAAAGGATGACGACTAGCTTCTGGTTCCTTTGTGAAACGTAGCCTGGGCCTGCGAAAACCGGCATATCGTTCCCTCCCGGCATGGCAGGGATGCGACGTCAACGACTACGCCCCCCCACCTCGCTCGAACGGTGTCCAGAAACAGGGCGAACCTGTCCTCCTCTTCCTCCGGCAGCCGCTCTCCCGTAACCCAGGACCTGCTCCCATCCTCGGGGTAGCTACTGCTCTTACTGCCGCCGCTCCTGCTGCTGCTACTGTCGTTGCCAGGGCTGTGGTTGGACATGATGCCGGACAGGGCCTCCAGCATCGACCGCCTCTTCTCCTCAAAGGAGTCCCAGTCTCGCCCTGATCGTGCTAAAGACCAAGTCTCGGCCAGGCGCTGTGTGGGAAGGGGGGGTGGGGGGGGTCTCATGGTTGGCATGCCCTAGCCATGTCACGGGGGGGCGGGGCGGGGCGTACTCTTATGCTTTGCATGCCGTAGCGGTTAGACCATTGACCACGCGTCCTCGAGAGGACGGAGCATTGTGTGTGTGTGTGGGGGGTCAAGGNCTGGCTGAACCACTTCGACGTCGATACAACCTCAGCAGCAGCAGCAGCAGCAGAAGCTTCCAACAACTGCAGTGACAAATGCACTGGCGATAGCAGCAACATCGAGTCTCTTAGCGGGATAAAAGTCGGAAACACGCGGCTAGTGCGTGCTTCGTTCGAGACCATCGAGCACAACTGTATACCATTATCGCAAACCTACGGACCATCTGAGAGCATGGCTCAGCGGACGGAGAGCACGACAACGCCTTATTCTCCTCTTCTGGCGCCGTGTACATGCGTGCACCCCACACTGCTGCGCCACACAACGTCGCTCACTCGTCACCCCCCCCCCCC